AAACCGCCGACTTGTCACTTAGCAGATGAATGCTTTAACCACTGTGGCATCAGGGCTCCCTAAATCCAAGTTAGACTCCACTAAATATTAAACAATATCACAAGATTACCTCTAAACCTAGCATAGAAAATATAAGTAATGCAACTTTATTAAAATGGCGAGGGTAAAAATTCTTTATTACTTAAAAATTATAAAATATAATAACAATAGTTTCCTTAAAATACAGTAAGACTGAGACTGGAATGTTTCAGAATATAAACAGTAGTAACCTACATTGTTGAACCAGCAGTAAATTCATTCAATTTTATTAAATACTCTTTAAAAGCATATTAACTTTTATTAAAATTTTTCTAAAAGCCTAACTATATAAGTTTCTACACTGCTATAGCTTGATTTAAATTTAATAACATAAACGTATCTGAAACACATAATATCCAAAATAAAAGGAGCTTAAACTACAACATTTATATATATGTTAAAAAACTGATTTTCAAAATAATTCTTCAAAACAAAACTCTTTATTACATATCCCCAATTTGAAAACTAAAATGTTAAACATTATCAACAGTATTATTAGATGAGGTTGCCCAAAGAAAATGAGAAAGTAGCAGCCTGGGGATGAAAAGCTGGAAACATGGGATAAACAGAAGCCAAAGAAGACAAGAAAGAAATGGTCACTGGAACTGTGAGTAGGGGGAGGCCAGGCTGAAAAGCTAAGTGGACAGTGAGAATGTCCAGAGAAATCAACATTTAACTCACTGAGTAACATGAAGATGCTGATGGTTTTTGAACCAAGGAGTTAAAAGAGGAGAACTGCGTATCAAGGAGTTAAATCAGTATCAGAGGGTAGGATGGTTTAGAACAGGAAAGAGATTAAAGATGAGATTTAAATACAAAGATATTTTGTTTGTTGTGTTTTTGTTTTTGCTTTTTTGAGGTCAGAGAAAGAAATTAAGGAGCTTGTGTCAGATCAACTCAAACTTCTAAGTAAATTAAACGGACTTGTGTCCATCCACTCCCCCATGTGTGACTTAACTCCAACCATGCTGCATCTACACCCTGGTTCTTCACACATGTAGTTCCTTTAGCCTGGAATGCTATCCCTATGCCTCTCTTCCTCATTTGTGTAATTCATACTCATCCTCCAAGGCCCAGTCAAGCATCACTTACTTCACTGACACTTCTTTTCAATTCTACTCCTGACCTCCAACCCTCTGTGATCCCAAAGCATCCCCGGATATCTCTACCATAAAATTTATTATATTGCTATAACATCCCAATAGAATGTGAATATGATGATAAGAACTATGTCTTTTAAAACCATGTCTCTAGGATCTGAAGGTATATGACTCTAAATCAATGAATGAGGCAAGACTCTCTACTGGGGAGTATGGCAGGCTAAGGATGACAAAGTCAGCAGTTTAACAAGAGTAGAACTACTATGGGAATAGAATAGTTCAAGAGTGTAATAAATGATCTGCCAAGAGAGGGCCTAGAGAAGACAGCATAACTCTGTAATGCCTAGATTTAATACAGTTTAATGATTCTTCTCTAACAATGATGATCATCACAAGAGCAGAGACATCTGGCAGTAAGAATTATCTGAAAATAGAAGGTGGAAAAAGAAGATAGCAAAAGGTCCAAGGGTTTCTAGAGTGATATAAATTAAACTTTTGAAGGGGCTAAAAGTGGGGTTCAAGAATGGCAGAACAAAAGTAAAACCAGAACTTAAGTGATGAACTAGGAAAAGTCCCGGTTAAGAAAGGGTAAAGAACAAAGTAGCAATGTAAATTAGTAAATGGGATGGGTGGGAAAATGTTCTGAGAGGGAAATTTTATAGTTTCAAATTTTTAAACTGGAACAGTTTCTAGCAACAATGAGGTTCAAAATATGGTTGAAAGTCAAGTGGGGACAGAAGCTTGAGAAAGAGAAACTACAATGCCAGGCTGTTAGGAGATAATCGTGCATGACTGGAGGAGATGTAATTAAGGAGATGACAGAAAAGTAATTTAAAAAGGCAGAAGAATGTGTTGGAGGTAGACAACTCGGAACAATGGAATGGAATGGACTTTAAAGGAGGAGAGGTTTTTCAAATAAAGGTAGGAGAAAAAGGAATTAAACTTTTTAACTGGGCAGAGTTAGGAAGGACACTTTATTGGCAGGAGAAAGTTACATTACAGTTAGTAAAAGGAGGCAGAGTGAGTTCACAAATAAATTTTAAAGACATATTTACAATCAATCAGGGATTCCCAAGGTCCCAGTGGAAGAAGCCAGCAAACTCACAAGCTGGAGTAAAGTAGGCCTAGTGTTAATACTTGCTATATGCCAATATTACATTCTCATTTATTTGATAGGTGATATTATCTTCATTTTCACGTATAAATTGAGGCTGAGGAATTGAGTAACTTTCCCAAGGTTTCACAGTGATTAAGCAGCAAAAAGATGACATGAAATTCTACTTGATGTACTCCAAAGCCCTACTCCTACCACTTCGTCGTCCTTCTTTTCTCTATATTTGCATAAACCTTGTCCCCTTTCATATGACAAACCATGGCATCTAGAAAATCAAGTTGTTACCATTTACCAGATGCTAGTTGATTCACTGTAGCCCACTACAGCATGACAGCCTAATGCTTTCGCATGTGATTTTATTTCTTGTCTGATTTCTGCCCACCATGCATCTCGAGTTTCTGGTTCATCTGAAAAATAAATTTTAAATCAGTTCACTACTCAACAGCACATGGTCTATATGAACAAGAAATGTTTAAAATAAACATACTCTGGGAGGTAAAGCAGTATTGTTCTGTAACAGATTCCAAAACTTCTCATCTTTAAAATGTTACTTCTAAAAAGCCTAAGATTTAACATTTTAAACTTGACTACCGGAAAATAAATCACCCAGTTTTTTTTAATATTTTAACAGACATCTGTATTTTATTAGCTACAACTTAAAATGTAGACGCAGAGTTTCAGAGTTTCCAGATTCTAATCTTAAAAACAAAGAGGATATGCTAATTCTCACCTCACTGAAGGAACACTTTATGTGTTATAGCCATAAATTTAATTTTACTCTGATATTATTTCCTGGTACCTATTGTGTATAACCCAGTATATTCTGGGTTCTTCCCAAGGCAAAGATTTGTCAATGTTAAAAGAGAGAAAGTCATCTGAAGCCATTCTTCTAAAAAGATGTGACTCCTAAAGCAAAGTAATAAAAAATAAAGGGAGAAGCCAATACAAAAAGGAAAACAATATACACATTTAAAAGATCAATACAAATAATTTGGTTAATGTATGTAAGGGCAAATTTTAGACGGAATACTACAAAGTTCCTATATGACTATAATTAAAATGGCTCAGTATCATAGAAGAGTATGGCATTACCATAGAGAAGTCCAATATTGCCTGCAATGCAACATAATAAACGGAGCATCTACCCCATGTACTTCCTAATTACTTGCATTTAGCTGCAAACTATTATTGAACAGCAGCTGCAAATTATAGTAACTTTTTATGTGCAGAGATGTTAAAAACAGAAACTGTTCATAATCAGCATATCCTGATTTGCTTCTATTTGTGGCCATTCCCATTTGGAAACAATGTGAGATTAGAAAAATAATAAAAAGAGGAAGAAGAAGAATCAACTCTAAATAGAATGCTAAGCTCTTATTGTAAATTTTCCACATAAAAACACTATTAAAACTGAAAAATCAAATAAACCAAACACTTTCTATTTTTGAACTGCAGTATCTATCCAATTTTCAAAATGTTCTTCCAAATAAGTGGAACAAGTAGAATTATATTCACTATTAAAATACTGAAGACAGCAAAGCAAAGAAAGATTAAGAGGCTTGTTATAGCTCACATTAATATGATGTGACTTTGTTTCCTCCCCAGGGAGGAGATCAGCAAAAGGGAGAAATGAGATAAAAACCAGAACTACAAATGATGCCAGTCAGTTCTTGAATTAAGGTTTTGGATCCAAGACAGAGCTACCCTAAAACTTTCTTTCAGAAGAAAAGAAAGAAACGCAGACTCCAGGAAACTGCGGAAAAGATCAAAGTATGAGATAAAGATTAAGAGGAAGAGAAACAGAAAAGACTACAGTATGGTCTTACCAATCAGTATTATGAATTAAATGTGCAAGACAATTAGGTGGCCCTTTTTTGTACACACACTATTGTGTTAGAGAATTCCTTCATATTCCTAACTGTAACATACACATTAACAGCTCAGATACGCTTTCAAATCCATTCTCTTTTTCTTCGAAGACGTATCTGTGGACCAATTTGAACATCCACTGAACATCACCCTTTCCTAAATGGGAATGTTTATATCATAAGACAAACTGCTGTTCAAGTAACTGGTCTAATCTATCAAATGATTTATGATTCTGCAAAAACAGGTATTATAAAGAATAGTAGAAATATGCCTCAGTTTAGAAAATAATCATTTTCCTCAAAAACTGTGTGAAATAAAAGCCTAGATTTTCTTAAATGCACTAGCAGAAGCTATTATTTACTTCTTAAACCCATTCTGGAAGTTTAAAATATTATTTACTAAAGCAAATAATTTATTTATACAACGGATTTTTTTTCACATTAGATTTGCCTGTATCTGTACCACAGTAATATGTGGTAGCTTCGGTTTTCTGTTTTAAAAATGAAATTCATAGGTAGTAATCCATAAGACTGTTTTAAAAATTAATGAGAAATGGAAGAAGCTACTTATTTTAAACTCAAATGTATATATTTAGAAATGGCCAGCATGTCTAAATGGAAATGTAATAATTACTATGAAATATGTGTAACCACATAGAATACAAAGTTTATTTACATCAAACTTACCTTGGGATAACACATAAAATAATCAGATAATTAAACCAAACACTATGAAATAAGTGGCTGATTAAAAAAACAAAACAAAAAACAAAACAACTGAATGCAGCGGAAGTGTAGCATTCATATTCTTCTGACAAATTCACAAGCAGCCTTTATTTTGACACGAGCCACACATTTGCACATGGGGATGCCACTGTTGTATTTAATAAAGTATTTACAAGTTTAATAAACACTGAAGAGTTATATAACACGGGAGCTAAGGAAGCAAATGGCATAAGTCCACACTCCAAAGAATTTCTTAAATTTGGTTTCTGGTTAAAGCAAAAGCTCAAAGAACAAAGGGTTTGCAAAGCAGATTCAGCAGACAGGAGCCAGAAACAGTGGATATTTTGGCGCATGCTTGGATTAGGTGACAGTACAGACTGAAAACTATGGCAGCTCACTGAAATGGTTACAGAAAGTAATGGCCCTAAATTCTACGTGAAAGCAAGGCAAGCATACAGTAGGGAGCACTTAATCACAAACTAGTCACCATATTAATAATTATCTACAACTGTAAGAAACTGAAGGATGAATTAGTTGGCTATTAAATTTAGGGGTTGTCTAATTAAACCAGAATTAAGATTAATTAATTTATTTAATATTAAAGCAAAGTTAATCTTGTTTTCAAAGCTTACATTATACCAATGCCAGAGATGAGCAAGATAATATTAAAGTAGTATTATGATTCAGCCTAACTTGCTACAAACACAAATTCAGAAATATCATAGTATTTTATCCCTACAGTGGAATTTTTAACACTTAAAAACTGCTAACTACATGCTTATAGGGACCACCCTAGTGAATCTGAATTATTTTATTCACACTACCAAAGTACAAAATTGAGGCTCTCCTATACTTATATAAAAAGTAAAATAAAGGGTCTAGCTTTAAAAAGTATGGCAACTGTACATGCCATATAGGAAATTGATATAATTTAGCCATTTGAAGTATATACAGCTGAGATGTGAGGATCACATTTAATAAACATTTCAGAAATGTCAAAAAAAAATCTCTTCACTTTAAATACCATGCTTTTCCCAATAATCCATACTCATTTAAATTATAAAAAAATCATTTTAAGAAAATTTTACATTTAACTTTATGCAAATTATACTTTGTACTACTTTCTGTTTTTCTTCTGAGTCAACTCTTCATAGATAATATCACAAATCTTTTAATACATCCTTTTAACTGTAGGCATGGACTGAGCTCTATATCAACACATCACCGATGCCTCCTCTATCGGGAGTGATGTCAGCACACCTGCACTGACGTCATAGTTAGTTCATTTTCACGACTGTGACTTTTCTAGAGTGCGGCCACAGCTTGATACCTTGCCCTCTTTTTAGCATCTTATCATCATCACGTTTCTGAAGTTCAGGTGAAAATAGTAAAGATCCCTAAAATGGCAATAACAGTTTATGTCTCAGAAAACAAAGAAGTGAATAACTCAACATAATGTCTTTATTCAATTCTATCCCTTTGAGACTTAAAAGCAATCATACACTTGCAACTAAGAAACACTAACTACCTGGGGTGTTAAATTCAGTTCTATTTTTATACAGGTCAGGGAGAGAATAACCCTGCCCTTGAGAATCTTTTACTCTGGTTGAAAGAAAAAAGGAAATGGATAGTTAGTCCCTTAATTTTTAAATGAACAAGAGGAGATAAAGTGTTAGTTTGGATCAAATAAAGGTTTTTAATACAATGATACTCTATCTTATAAATGAACAGCATGAAAAGCTACATTCTCAAATATCTGAAAGTATGCCAGCTGATAACAACCTCTAAAGAAGATAAATTTTCCCTAATGAAGTAGAAATTAGAGAGTTCAGGTTCAAGGGAGTATACAATCTCAAAGTAAGTGGGGATTCAATACCAGACTAAGGAAGAAGAGTCTTACTAAAGAGGAAGTGACATGGTTAATACAGAGCAAACATCAAGACGTAGTAATTTGGGACATTAGGATGATAGCTAGAATATAATTCATGTTGTAAATAAAAAGTCAGATATGTAATCTATTCCTTAAACCATGAGATGTCATTCTCTAAATATGTACAATGTAACTGAATATTCATTACTCTAATATTATTGGTAATAAAGAATAGCTCACATATTATACATACTCTTTATTTATGCCTTCTTGAACTCTGTATCTACTTCCTGAAAAACCTTATTCAAATAATAAAACTCAAATCCTGCTTAACTATTTTAGGCTTAGTTTCACATCTACTTATGAGTACCTCTCAATGTAGTGAAAAGAATAATTGCTGAGATCATCAGTAGAGTTCAATTTCCAAAAGAGCCTATTTAACTAACACACACACACACACACACACACACACACACACACACACACAGTAGTGTAAGAAATATCCCTAACTGGATGTGTGAATAGGATGTTTGCCTGGCAGATCAATGGTGTCCCCAGTACCCAACACGGTGCTCAGCACATGGCAGGCACTCCATGAAGATCCATTAAGTAAAACTAAAAGGAAACAAAAAAGAAAATAATTTGCATATGTATATTCTATAAATATTTCTTTACACAACAGCTGATTCACATTTTGTTAAAATTAAATATTTCAAAGTAATAATTATACTTATTACTTCTCTAGATCTTGAGTATTATTTTTGGCTCCAAAAATGAGGTAAATCTTCTAGACAATTGTATTTCTGATGGCTAACAAAAAGGAGTAACATTTTTCCAATTTCAGATCACTAACCTAAAGCTAACCTACCCTAGTAAAAGTTTATTATGAGGCTGAAAAAATTCCAACAAGAATATGTCCTAACTTCTAGAATCTTTCTAAAAC